TGATTCTCAAACACACCACTGTACTTGCACTTGAGTTTTGTCTCAGGATCTGTTTCTGGGGCACCTCAACCAAGAGCGTGCTCCCTAAATTCCCTCTGGGGTCGGGATAGTACCCCAGTGGGCCTATCCGAGTGGGCCCCGAGATCTTGTTTTGAAGAGCTTGGGAACAATCCCTTTGTAGGAAAGGAAGGAACTAACATTTGCCCACCATGGATAGGAGAGCCAGCAGGCCCGTCACCTTTGCTCCTTATGCAATTACCCTGGGAAGTCAGTGCCAATATGAGCCCCTTTTTACAGATGAGAAAACAGAGGCTCAGAGAGAGTGAGACCTTGCTCAGCTCACACAGCTACCAGGTGACTAGGGGAGGCAGGACTTCAGCCTGGGCTCAATGACTCTCCAGCATTGGGATAATGATGTTTTCCTCATCTCCAGGACTCATCTCTAGGACTTATCACTTGGGTAAACCAATTCCCTTTGATGACACGCTGGGCTGAGCTTTGCAGCTCTTGCTTTTGGGGGCAGGAGGGAGCGAGGATGTTTGCCGCAGAAACAGAAATCTGGGGACTTGGTCCAGTCACTGGCTCAAAGCAAGTGAGCCCAGGGGGAAACTGAGGTCTGGAGAAAGTGCCACATTCTTTCCTTGCTTCCTCTTCCCCTTTCTTAAATATGGAGCCCATTCATTCATTCATTCATGGGGCACCTGCCAGCCCCCAGGCACTGTGCTGGGGTGTGGTGTGAGTCTGACATCCCACCCTGATCTCATGGGCTTATGTCATAGTGGGTAAAACAAACAGGCTAAACTAATTACAGGTTGAGGCAAGTGCTTTGCAGGAAACAAACAAGCAAATGTGTGTTTGTTGCGGGGAGGGAGCCGTCTTTAGAGAGCAGAGCATGGGAAGGAGATGAGGATCAAGCAGTTCTGAAGACATCTGGGGAAAGACTGCTCATTCAGGGGCAGCAGCACATGCAAAGGTCCTGAGGTCGTAAGCTTCCCAGCACCTACAAGGAGCCAAGAGAAGTCTGGCTGGCAGTGAGTGCACAGTCAAGGTCAGGGCATGTAGAACAGGTCATCTTGGTACCCACAATGGCCCCACAGAGCCTCTGTCTCCATCTCCCCAGTGCAGGGAGCCATTTTCTCCTTGGGAACCTGGTTCAAAAATTTCCCAAAATATTGTTCACATTCAACAAAAGGAAGCCATCAGGCTGCCAAGCAAGAAGATGGGGACAGCCTGCAAGTTATCAACCGCAGATAATTAAATCATGGCTTTGCACTGGGCCCCTGGGGACCAGGCACACTTTCTCCTCCCCATTGAAGGTTTGCTGCCAGCAAAGTAGAGAGCGCAGGGGGTTTGCACCCTGGAGAGAGAAGGGAAAGCTGAATACTCCTCATCAGAGAAAAGCAAAAGAATCGGGAGCAACGAGCTTGTCCGCAGGCCTTGAGCAGATTTCTCGATGTGCGGGAAGGTGTTGTCAGCCACCAAGGATGGGACGTGCTCTCGGGGCTGGACTTGATGCTGAGAGGCCTTGCCCTGACCACTGCTGGCCTCCCAGAACAGTTGGCTCCGAAGGTCTGGGAGGCCCTTGGCAGTTGCCACAGCCACCATCTTCTTGAATGACATGGTGGACATGAGCTAAGGGCCTTGTGCATTGGTCTCGTCTAATACCACAAAGACGCCACAGGGGAAATGTTAGGCCATTTTACAGATGAGGAAACAGGTTCAGAAAGTCACAGAGTAAATGCTAAAGCCAAGGTGCAAGGCCTGATTTTGTAGCAGCAGACCTAGGGTCTGGCCTTCTCTGTGATTTTCTCCTGTGTTTTCAAAATAAAGGCAGGAGGCTGTGCAGCGGCTCCTGCCTCTCATCCCAGCACTTTAGGAGCCTGAGGCAGGAGGATTGCTTGAGAGCAGGAGTTCGAGACCAGCCTGGGTAACACAGCGAGACCCCATCTCTACAAAAAATACAAAAAATTAGCCAGGTAGGGTGGCACGTGCCTGTAGTTCCAGTAATGGGAAGCCTGAGGAAGGAACATCACTTGAACCCTGGAGATCAAGGCTGCAGTGAGCTATGATCATGCCACTGTGCTCCAGCCTGGGTGACAGAGTCAGACCCCGTTTCAGAGGAAAAAAAAAATGACAGGAGCCCTGGGCTCTGGGTAGGGCTTGATGCTGAGCCTAGCTGAGCCCAGTGAGTGCCAGCCCCATTATGGTTTATTACTCATCCCTGCCAACTGCCTCTGTGAGTCGCTGGGAGCAATTCTGCTGAAAAATAAGATTGGGGTGTCTCCCAAGCACAATCTGTGTGTGTGGGGGGGGAGTTCAGGAATGGCTTGATCAAACCTCCAGGGACTGCGGCCCCACTCTCCTTGGGCTCCCTTTCTGGTTCTATCCTTGGTATCCTAAAGGGACACTCCTCAGAGTCTGCTTTTTGATGTTCAGGGTCACATCACATGCAGTGACGGTGTGACGGAATACAGGCACGGCTTGGAGTCCCGCTACCTTGGAACCACACCTGGCTTCAAATCCCATCTGCTGCTTCCTGGCTTTATGACTTTGGGGCAGTGACTTTACCTCTCCTAGCCTTGGTTTGCACATCTGTAAAGTGGGGCAAACATCAGTCCCAGGGATGTCATGAGAACGCTGTGCATGATCTTGTAGACTTGTCTGCTCAGGGTCTGGAAGGTGGTGAGACCCAATAAAAGGAAGCTGTCATGACTGTGCCCGACCCCGGCCCCACCACAAGCACCGGCTGCGGTTGCTGTGGCCGATCCCGACACAGACAGGCGTGGGGGACTTTCCTGCTGAGGCCAAGGCCTACGCCAGGGTGGCTTACCGGGTTTGTGAGCAGAAAATGTAACTGTGGGAACCTATTATAAAAAACTATGAGGACTTTCAAAACAGTGACAGCCAAGCATTAAGCCAAAGGCAGGACCCTTCTGAGCTCAAGGCCCTTCCGGGCTGTCCCCCACGACGCCGGCTCTACCACACCCAGCTAGGAACCGGAACTGTTATGACCGTGCATCTTCTTTGGTGACGTGCATGTTCCAATATTTTGCCCAGTTTTCGCAAACTGGTTGTCTGTCTTTTTCTCATTGATTTGTTGGAATTCTTTCGTGTATTCTGAATGAGTCCTTTGACAGCAGTTTTTGTTGTTGTTGCTTCTGAAATACAGACTCAAAAAGGATGAGCAAAAGGAAAGGAAAGTAGGAAATTATGACAACAAGATTTTAGAACTTTTCAAGCAGAAAATGTGGCTGCTCAGTGAGGTGTAGAAAAGAAGGTGCTCCCGTGCCTCCTCTCTCTGGGGCGGGGGATGAGGCGTTTGAGGCTTAGGAAGGGGGGTCAGGTTCAAGTCTCCACACCTCTTCCTGGCCCAGAGCCTCAGCCTGGACTTCACCCACCTCAGGCTGCCTTTCCTGGCTGTGGAGTCAGCATCGCGCCTCCTCAGGAGGATGAAGGAACTCAGCTGAGGATTTGCCTGTACCCTTTTGTCCCCAGTGGGCAGACTCAGTAGCAGAATTCCAGGGGTGTGTTTGGAGGGGACCAGCGGGGGTGGAAGGAGCGCTGACCTGGGAGTCTGTACCCAGGTTTCCTGTAGGCTGGGTGGGTTCCGTGAGCCAAGGCAAGCAGCTCCTCCGGGCCTGTTTCCTGGGAGTTCAGGGCAGGGTCGCTCCAGCCTTCCTCCTCCCCCAGGGAAGAGTGATGAGCGGATTCAGGAGGAATCCAGGGCTGCACCCACCCCCTCAAGAGATGACCCTGGAAGGCTGTTCTGTAGGCTCCTACCCCAGCCCCCCAGGTGAGAGAAGGTGGTGGGGCCTGCAGGGTTTGAAAGGACCCAGGTCTTTAAATGGGCCCACTTCCCAGAGAACCCTGGCCTCCCCCTCACCCATGGGAGGTACAGGAGGAAAGAAAAAGCTAAAATCATGGGCCTGGAGGAGTGAATGGAGAACCAGACAAAATGAACCCATTGGCCCTGGAGGGCAGGACAGCTGTGGCTTTGGGGCTTGAGTCTGCAAACATCTGTTCCTCCCCAGACACCCAGGCTGGGGTGAAATGGGCCTGATTGGGAGGGTGTTTCACCCACGCTGTGAAATCATCAAGAGTGAGAACAGTCACCAGCCACATGCTTCTCAGCAACCATCGCCCGGATGCCCCTCAAGCCTGCTGGCATCTGAGGGGAGGGGACTCCAAGACCCAGCAGCAGGGGTGGGTGAAGGAGGGGGATGGAGGGTGGGGTAGGTGGGGTGGAGGGCAGGGGTGTGGGTGAAGAGGAGGGGATGGAGGGTGGAGGGTGGGGTGGGGAGGGATGGGGGATGGACAGAGGAGGGGATGGAGGGTGGGGTGGGTAGGTGGAGAGGAGGGATGGAGGGTGGGTGGGAAGGCTAGAGAGGGATGGGGTGGGTGGACGCAGGAGTGGAGGGGGGAGTGGAGGTGGGGAGGTGGGGTAGGGTGGAACAAGGTGTGGGTGGATGGAGAATATGTGGGGTAGGGCAGGCTAAGGGGCAGTGGCACAGCATGCACCACCCTTTCCTCCAGCTAGGTCTGCCCCTGCTCCCGCCCTTGCCCCCTGAGCAGACCCCACCCTCCTCAGGCATGTACACTAAGGCCTGTGGACCCCTCCAGCTACCTCCCGGTGCCCAGCTCTCCTGCCTCTGTCCTGCTGCCCTCCAGCCACGCTGGTCTCTTTCTGTTCCTTGAAGGCCCCAGGCTGTATCCCAGCCCTGGCCTTTGCCCCGGTGGCTCCCTCTGCCTGGAAGGCCTTCAGTGCCCTGTCGCATGGCCACTACCTAGTGCATGGCAGAGCCAGGCTGTGGCCCAGGTCTTCGGTCTGAGGAGGCCATGGGCTTCAGTATTTCACCATGTTGTTACCACCGTGTGCTCACCAACTTGGACAACTTAGTGGCTGCCCAGGGCCACCACAGCTCCAAGAGGGAGGGGCTCAGCAGAGTTCTGCCTCTCCGGGTCACAGGCTGTGGTCAGGAAGTGACTTACCAGGGTCCCACAGTTAGTTCCGGAATCTATGACTCTTGTCCCCGTCCTGGAGGTGGGGTCCGCCCTCTGTGACTTCACTCGGCTCCCTCTCCTGTTCTCACCAACTCTGACCCTGGAAGGAAGGACAGAAGGGAGGGAGGGAGGAAGGGAGGGATGACTGTCCCATCCACAGGCAATCATGATGCCCACAGGCATAGAATTCAGTGGACCCACAGAAGGAGGAAGATAGGGAGAAAGTGGAGGAAGAAGTTGGTTGGGGAGGGCAGGAGGGACCCGAGAGGCCCGTTTTCTGACCTTGGGTCCACTGGTTGGCTCACACCTGGGCTTTGGAAGATTTGAGGAGGGTACCTGGGGTGACTTTAAGCAGATAACCTGTGGGGTCTCTGTTTCTTCATCTATAAATTGGGGTCACAACTGCTCCCACCTCGCCCCCAGGGCCAGGACACTTGGGATGAGCACTCATGATCTTTAATGAGCCAGGGACTGAGACTCTCACTCGGGGAGCAGAAGCAAAGCCCCCTGGGGAGGGAGGGCTCACGAGGGTGGTATCTGGACGTTCCCACCCTGGGCTAGTGTTCCGTTGTATGACCATCCTGACAGGTGTGATGGTTTCATCTTTGAACTTGTGTTTTGTAAGTAAGACCAGGGACAGTGACACATGTGTGTTAGCAGTATGTGTGTGATCCCATTCCCTGTTGCCCCATCTGCATGGAGCGTTCATGATGCCCACGTACACAGGATTCTGTGGATTCACAAGGTGAGTGAGACCCAGGCTTGTGTGAGATGAGCGGTTTGCATCTATGACTGCCCGAGAGGCCATGCTTTGCTTTGGACACAGAGACAAAGCAGGGGCACCCTGCGCCGTGAGCAACAGAGGGACCCCATCATTCCCCTTCTCACATCACTTCCCCATGTCAGCCGACCACTCACGTTGAAACAATGATGCATCATAGCCCCCCACTTTATTAGGCCATGTTGGCAAAGAGGGTGCAGGGAAGATGTGTAACTTACACCGTGAACTGGAGAGACAACTGTAAGAAGTTCAACCTACAATTGTGAGGATATTATCCCCATGACTGGAGCAGCAGGTGTCGGCCACGTGGGGAGGGACACAGCACAGCCAAAGGTAGGCGGTGTTGGTAGAATGTGCACGTATCGAGAAGCTAAATAAATGTGAGTGATGGGAAATGTTTCTACTGTTAGTTACGGGCGAGAACACCCCTATGCACGCACAGGCCACGAAACACAAATTGTGTAATTTTGAGAATTCTGCACACGGGTTAAATGCCCTTACATTTGTATTTAAAACGGACCTTGCATAATATAAAGATGGATGACCAAATTCATGCTAGTAATTTACATATTTTAATTTACTTAGGATGATTTTGAATAGCAAATAAAAAACACCCCGGCAAGTCAAGAGAGAGACCGCAGAGAAAAGGAAAAAGCTTTATCGCTAAGGAGGTTGAATGGCACTTTTTTCCTACCTTTGGAACAAGGGACCTGACGTTTTTATTTGCACTGACCCCCACAAATGATGCAGCTGTCCTGCTTTCATCAATGAGCCAGGCCGTGGTTCTCTAGTCTGTTTGTGCCCAGGATTCTGACATGTTTGCTGCTGGGAACTGGACACGGGGCATATACAGTGCAGGATGTAACATGGAACCAGCGCTTGCTAAATGCCCCAGTGCCCTGCGTCGGGCTTTGCATCCATTACTTCACTTAATCTTCCCAAGGGCCCTCAGAGGTGGGTCCTGCTATTATCCCCAACTTACAAAGGAAGAAACTGAGGCTTAAGAGGTGAAATGACTTGTGACCAGCGGACATCAAGCTCCAGCTCCTTCTGTCTCTAAACCGCATGCCTTCCGCAGCCCCCATCAGGCCATCTTGCAGCTGTGCGAAGTCATCTCCAGTGGGTCCTTTGATTTGCAAGATCTGCTTCCTTTCAACCTTTGAATCTAGAAGTCCCTGCCATCCTCTTATTAACTGTATCCTTCCTTTCTCAAAGAAGTTTCCACATAAAAGTTCAGAGGGAGACAGCATGGGGAGGCGAAACTGAAAAAAGGCAGCAGATTCTTTATGTTTTATTAATTGTCAGATGTTTCTTGTTTCTTTGGTTCAACCTGGTTTGAATCCTGTTAGCCTCGGCTACGCAGACCAGAGCATAAAGAGCCACCACCCAGGTTTGCGGCGTCAGTTTAAGTGTTAATCATGTTTTCATATCTGCCTATAAACTCCTGTTTGGGAGAACCTGGGTGTTTTCTTAAAATAAATGGCAATATAAAATTGAAAACAGCTAGCATTCCTGAATCAATTTTCACATCTTATAACTTTGAAGCATAATTCATTTCTTCCTTTTGAGCTCCTGTGGCGACGGGGACAGCCTCACGCCTGCCATGTAATTTCATGAGGAGCAAATCAGTTAGTAATCTGCAGCATCTTCGTGCCTCCCTACCCTTGGAGCCCTTAAATAAATGCAAGAAATGACAAGTCCCCCCACTTTATTAGACCATGTTGGCAAAGAGGGTGCAGGGAAGATGTGTAATTTATGCTGTGAAGTGGAGAGACAACTGTAAGGAGTTCAACCCATAATTGTGAGGGTATTATCCCCATGACTGGAGCAGCAGGTGTCGGCCACATGGGGAGGGACACGGCACTGAGCTTGCACGTGTCAGAAGTGTGACACCAAGGCGATCCGTGGTTGCCTTAGTTGCCATGTTCCTTGAATAGGCTTTTCTTTAAATATACATATATTTAAATTGAGGTATACCATACATAGAGCACACAAGTCTTACAAAATGTGCCACTTAGTGCATTTTTGCACATACGCCTGCCTGTCTAACCCCCACTGTGATCAAGCTATAGAGTTCCCCTCTCCCCCTTCCCGGGCTGACCCTCCTGCTGGGGGAACCCATATTCTGCTTCTGTCACCGTAAATTAGCTCTTCTTGTTCTTGTATGTTGTATACATGGAACCATACAATATGTGACCTCGGGCACTGTCTTTTCTTTCTCTTACTCCTCATGATGCCTCTGCAGTTCATCCCTGTTTTGTGCATAGTGGAGTCTGCTCTTTTTCACTGCTGTGTGGTATTCCATTGCATGACTCTGCCATTATCGATTCATCCGTTGTACTGTGGATGGGTATTTGAGTTATTTGCAGTGTGTGAGCTGTTATGAATTGTGTTGCTATCAGCATTAGAAGAGATTTAGCTTCCTTATATTAAAAACTGGATACCCTCCTCCCTGCCACCCTGTGCACACAGTCACACACACAGACACACACACACACACACAAAACACACATGCATGAGCACTCATGTGCACTGGAGTTTTTACCCACGCATTCTCACTGCTCTTCTTCTCTGTTTTGACTGACTTAGGAGTCACAGGAGCAAATGCCCTGTCCTCAGCGCCTGGCTGGGAGGCTCTGGTCTCTTTCAGGAAGCGAAGTCATCATTTCTAAGCCACAAGCTTCTGATTCCGCAGTTCCTCTGAAGTCTGCGAGTTCCCAGGAGACGGCGTTTCCCTTCCTGTTCCTGGCCGTGCGTTGCCTTTATTCCGAGTTAACTACTAGACCTAATTAAACAGCACCATCTCCTCAGAGTGGCTGATTTTCTTCCTGTCTGAATACAAATTAAACTCCCATGCCGTTAACATTCAGGTCAGTTGATCAGAATCAACCTCTTTTAAAACTCAAAGGCCAAAGTGATTTCAAAGTCAGTCACACACCTCGCGTCTGCTGGGAAGGGCCTGGTATGGTTATCTTCAAGCAGACCCGGCTTGGGAGCAGCCTGAGGACAGAAAGTTTCTTCACAACTGAGTCAGGATGACACAGTACACGGGCTGCCCGGCGGGGTTTGCTTGGGAGGTCCAGGGTGATCAGAGACTGTGAGCCTAATTTGTTTGCTATTTCACTCCCTGCATCATGGAGATTCAAAATCCTTTTTTTTCATTTACCCAGTCCCTTCACTGAGCAAATACGGGTTCAGTGCCAGGTACTGTGCTGGCCCTGGAGCTGCTGAGCACACAGCGTGATGTTGCATCGGGCCGCGCGGATTGCACACATGTGGGCGAGATGCAAGACAGCCAGCGTCAAGAATGTCTCAGGCTGTAACCCTGATGGTGCACAGGGAAATGCCATGTAACGCAGTCACGCCCTTCCTCTGCAGTGCACACCTGGTTCTGCGGTTCTTCAAGCGGAGAGCAGCTAAGTTCTCTGCTGGTGGGTTCCCACTGAGAGCCTGAGCTGACGGTCCAGTCTGTCCCACCCAGGTCATTCTAGGTAGATGCAGACCCGGGATCGAGAAGGGAGCTCTCCAGGGTGTCCCTACTGTGATGATACTGCCAGATGGATAGGACATGGTGCCCGCCACCCCTCAGCAAGGCGGGAAGGCGCCAGGGCCCTGACCATCTCCTACAGTGTTTCGGCGGATGTGAAAACATTCCTCACCTTCAGAAGTGGGTGTGTGAAGTGCAACGGTTGACCAGGGCCATACTTGTGAACGCTTAGGAAACAGGGATTGTTTCCTTCCCTGGCCGTCTGGTTCCAAGTCAGGGACGCAATGGATATACAATTTGGGGTGACCACGGGCTGGGCCCTGCCGACGGCCTTGCATAGTTGGCTTGTTTAGAGTAGAGCAGGTGTCAGGGAGTCTGATTGAGAGTGGATTAATGAGGGCACAAGGGCTGAAGGTCCACAGTGCTCGGTGTGGGGGTCGGGTGGGGCTGTGTGTGCGCAGGCTGCAAAGCCGGCCCAGGACTGACTCACCTGTCATGGGAGCCCTGGAGGGGTCTTCAGGGCTGTGATCATTTGGAATTGGAAACAAGACATTTTGGCTGAGCTGTGCTAGTCAGGGTTCAAGTTCCCTGTACTCAGTTGGCCTCCTTGGCCTCGGTTTCCCCACCTATAAATGGAATTGTGTAGCAGCCATGGTCGTCTGCTTCCCAGCAGCCATGCTGCCGTTCTCTCTCCTACAGTGTCCTGACTTTGTTCAGGGATCTACTGTCATCCAGGTGGCCTGAGCCCTGGCTCTAGCCTAGTCAATCAAGGCAATCCTATTTCTCCAGGGGTTAATGTGTGCCCAGTTGTGACCAGTGAGAACTGAAGAGGGGCGGTTCGGGGACATTTTCTTTGTTCTGAAAAGAAGATGTGCCTGTAGCCATGTCCCCGTCCTGTTGTGTGTAGTCCTGTCTGCATGTGATTCCTGGGGCCACGGCAGCCATCTTGGAACCATGGCGGACCCATCACAGCCAAGCCAACGTGTCAAGGTGGTGAAACAGCAGGGGGTTTGGGAAGAACCTGATTCCTTCGTAACCATGCCACGACTGACCAAATCTAAAGCTCCCTCACCTCTGGGTTTCTTGGCAGGCCAGAAATTCAGGTCCTCTTCATGTATGCCACTTTGAGTTGCGTTCCCTGCTGCTGGCAGCTGAAATCCTACAAGATAGGGGAGGAGAGAGTGAGGAGGGTGGGGATGGTCACTCAGGCAGGACGCTCTGCCCTGATGCCCTGTCATTCTTCACAGCGTTGGAGAGCTCAGTTCCAAATACAGCAATGATAGTGGGGGATTTATCACCGGTGAGCAGAACAGGGGGCTAGTTAGTGGATGGAAAATTAGTGAGAGGTGACATCTCTCGTAGGAGATTTCTTGCTGAACTGACTTAACGGGATCCCTGCTGAAGGCAGGCCAGGGTGATCAGATGGAAAGTGTCGGGGATGAGGAGCTGGATCCGGTGCCAAGGGAGGGGGAATGACTTCTCAGCGTTCTCCATTAAAGCTGGCCTGAGCAGGCGACAGCAGGGCCCAAACTTGAGGCCTGGCTGAAAAGAGGCCTCAGAGGATCCTGCCTGAAGTGTGGTCAAGGACAGAGTCGTCATCGGTCCTCAGCAGTCAGCACCTTTCGAGGGTGACTCTGGCTGAAGGAAAGTGCCTCACTAAGCTCACGCCTCCTTTCAGGATGGCCCATGCCCAGTGGCTGACCAGTGCATGGATGTTAAGGCCTGGACCTTTGCCCCAACTCAGAACAGGTCTAAGGGGCCACTCCAGCTCCAGAGCTGCCCGTGGAGTTGGCTGAGGCCCGTGTTGAGGCCACGCTGCATCTCCCCATCCTGCCTTTGTCCCCTCCCAAGGGCGTCCAGCTCAAGGGCGCTCTCTAATAAAGTCGTGCCTGGGGAAAGTCGTGCCAGATGAGCCTACAGACCCACGGTGCTGCTAGAACAGTGTGGTTAGCAACTCCCCAGTGTTTGTTTTGCCAAATTGCTCTGGAAAATAGAGGGGCTTTGGGAGGGGAGAGTGGGCGTGAAAGAGAGCAGGATGTGAGAGGGGAGGAGAGAGACTGCGGTGGCCGGATGCAGCTGTCCGCAGTGGTGTGTGAACAGGTGTCATCCTGTTCTTCAGCTCCTCGGGAACCTCCAGTAAAATCTGTTTTACTCAGAGTGTTTACTCACCGTGGCTTCTGAGGTTGGAATTTTTGTGGGGGAAATGGAGGGACTTGTCTGAGATTTGCAGCACAGGGAGTATGGGGTAAAGCTAGAAGCCACCCATGGAGACCAGGTTCCATCAGGCCTCATTACTGGACAACCACTGTGTGTGCCCTCCAAAGTGGATGGGTCTTATCACCCCTGTCTTACAGAGGAGAAGACTTGGGCCAGAGTGCCTGGATAACATGGCAGGGAGGTGCTTGGGTTTTTGAGTGAGATGGGCCTGGCTTCGAATCTTTGCCCCGTGACTCACCAGCTATGTGACCTTGGGCAAGCTATTTAAGCCTCCACATCCATTTCCCTACTCCATGAAAATGTGGCATTGTGGATTGGTGATGGGCAGCAGGGGTAGGGGCCAACGGCCAGGAGCCAAGTCCTGTCATCACTGTTCACAGGCTTTGTGACTCTGGGCAGGTTCCTTAAGCTTTCTGTGTCCAGCTCTCTCATCTATACATTAAGAATAATGATAGCTGTTCAGATGAGAAAAGTTATTATATTGGAAAACACTAGAATAGTGTCACATATTAAGTGTCACATTCACGTTAGTGCTTAGTATTTTCATCAGTATGCTAATATTATTTGTTTGTGGTAGGGGTTAGATAAGTAGCTATACTTCTCTCTCTAATTCTGTCTAAAAGGTGTACAGGCAAAGGGTCACCAAGTTTCAGGGTCCAGGGGAAACTGCACTTCACTTTGACCTAGAAAAATGGTTTTCCTATTTTTTCAAGCACCCAACCATTGTGATTGGTTTCTGGAACACCGCTGTCATGGTTTTGGACTTGACCTTACTGTTTAGAGGAGAGCTT